GAAAATGGAAAACATCAATTACAGGCTTACTAGCCATAATGGTGTAAAAAAAAGAAAGAAAAAGAAAATAAAATAAAAAGAGCAAAAGATTGAAATTATATTTTGAGGCGTATTTTTTAAAGTTGCTTTATACCTCAAATTTATCATTTTAAATGTCAATATTCTTTTTGACTATTTCGTCATTTATATCAAATGAGCAATTTTCTTTTCCATATTTCCTTTTTCTCCTTTTCTTTTTAAATAATATAATTTATTATTAAATCTGATTTGTTTTAGTCCCTCTTTCATCCTTAAACATTACGCGCAAATATGTATTCAAGACTGGGAAAAAAATTTTTTTTTTAAGCTGTTTCTGAAGAATACATTAAAACATTTACTAAATAAAGAAATTTTTTCATGAGACATTAATTTGCCCTTAATTTAAAACATATATACTATGTAATTTATGCAACAATTGGTGTTGTTGCTATTATTGCTATTGCCACTGTTATTGTTGTTATTACTGTTATTGTTGTTGTTGTTGCTATTATTGCTATTGTTGCTATTGCTGTCATTGCTGTTGTTGTTGTCATTGTCGTTATTGTTATTGTTTTTGTTACTGTTGTTGCTATCGTCATTGTTACTAATTGTTGTTGTTGTTGTTATCATTGTTGTTATTGTTATCGTTGCTGTTGTTATTGTTGTTGTTGTTGTTGTTGTTGTAGAACAAATGTAATTGATAATTTTTTCTTGAAAAAAAAATGTTATCTATATTCATTAGAACCGTGCAAAATGTCACATGCAAATTAAAACTCAATTACTTCAAAATAACTTCCAAATTTGTCAAATCTATGCTTATAACTTTTCCGCTTTCTATCTCTTTAAGTCATAGGGAATAATAAAATTTGTTAATGCTATCAGGCAAACTTTTTTTTTTCTATTTTCACATATAATGACATTAGGGAAAGGAAAACAAGTCCTTTTCCTTCTTTTTGTTTTTCTCAAATACAATTTGCAAAATTTGTGGAAATTCATCATGTTCTCAAACGTAGAATGTAGGAATTTCTTTAAAAATAATATTTAATGAGAAAAAAAAAGTGGAATTTAATTTGAGCTATAAAGTTTGAAATTGATAAATAGGATGATTGGAATGAAAAGAAAACGTTAGCATCAAAAGATTCAATTAGTGAAGTAGTTTTGTTTAGTTCGAGTTAAAATTAACTTAAAATTAGTTTAATATATGACAGACAAATGTTAAAAAATGAAAGATAAAGAATAATTTCCGAATGAAATATATACGTAATCCGTGAAAGCTACACGTAAATACATGAAGTATTAAAATTGCATTAGATTACCTAACAATAGCCTAATATATCCATGAATAAAATTATTTGCAACATTATTGGTAGCTTAATTAGCAGTATTATGAGTAACGTTTTGAAGTGGAATAATTGGATAATTGTTGGAATATTATCAGTGTTATGTGATGCAATAAAATTAACATGTTTTGCATGTGTAGCATAAATGACAACGAAATGGCATAATGTGGATCGAGCTAATGTCAATTTACATAAGCATCGATAACATAACTGGAATAGTCTGGTATTTTTAGAGCTAGCATTTCTGGTACCTAATATATTCGATTATCGAAATCCCGAAATACTAAACGATTCAGGTGATAGAACTAGTGAAATAAATTAATATCAGTAGTCTAATATAAGCGTGAAAATTCACTTCATCGCTTTGTATTCAACATGGTTTATTGCCTCATGCGTGGGATCCATTATAATCCTGTAACGTCAGTGTCGTTGCGCACAATCGTATCCGTGTAATCATTAGCCATATATAACGGAATGTATGATATCTGATAAGCTAACTTAGATTTAATTTCTGACCTAATTATTATGCAATTTACCTTTATCTTATATCGTTATGTGATCGGATGATAATTGCAAAAGATATATTTTATCATCAAATACGTCAATAATTTTTGCAAGACCAATAAAATGCATTTGCGTTTTAGCAAGATTAAATAAATGTCATTCATTTGCTTTTTTTAATGCTATTTTTATGTCATGCAAAGCGAAAATTAGCTATTAACAGAAGAGAATAGAAATAGAAGACGTACAGGATGATTTAAGACAATTCATCAAAACAGAAAAAAAAGAAACAAAAATTAAAAAATTGCTACCATCGGAGATAATTGACTTTTTTTCTTTTTCTTGTCTTTTTTTGCAATCGACAAAAGCAAAAATGCGATAAAATATTTTCAAAACTTTCTTACTAACATGTCACAGTTATTTCTTTTTATCATAGAATTATCAGAAATATCTAATATTCGGTCCAGTTCTGATAACGCATGCTCACGGGAACATCAGTAATCATTATCATTATATCAGTAGCATTAGCATTATATCATGAAAATTCAAATAGATAAATATAAAACTAAATGAAATACTTTAACATCGTTATTTAGATGTTTGTCTTCGTCTGTTTCATTTTAAAATAATTTGTTAAAATTGAAGTATAATGACCTGAAATTTCGACGAATTTATATAAATTAATGTTTTAAAATAAAAAGTAAAACTAAACTTTGATAGAATTATTAGCTTTTATTGCCTTCATGAAATGTAACAATGTCATAATAATTAATCAATCTACACGTAAAACAAAAAAAAAAGCCTGTTAAGCTTTAAATTTATGACGAAAATATTGGAGTGTTTCCAACTTTTTTTTTTCCACAAACAATAATAAATATTTTTTGAATTAGCAGCTTTTAAATAATGTTTCAATTTCCTACGTTAATTATATGTCGAAATTAATAGATAGACGAACGATTAATAAAAAATATCGAAAATTTAATCAAAATTATAAAAGACCAGACAAAGTGATAAAGCATTTATGTGGAATGTCCTATTGAAAAAATGAACTAACATACTGTAGTCGATGGAAAGTTTTAATAAAATGCATTAAGAAAAAAGTGAAATAATATAAAATATTATTAGTCCGAAATGCCAAAATGTTTAATTATCCAAAAATCCAATAAATCTCGAATTCAATTGAATAATAATACAAAAATCATTAATTTGAGTTCTTAAAAAAGGAAATTATAAAATTTCCACTCCTACTACTTTTCTTTATTATTTAAGTGGTAATGAATAACAACATCGCGATTAAATCTTAAATTTCCGTAATTTTGTAACATAAATTATTTGATGCCAGTTGCTTATGACAAATTTTTATATATTTGAAATTTAAGGAAAGCTAATATTCACTTCATTTTTTTCCACTCTTTAAATGGTAATGAATAATTCAATAACACAATAACACGAATAATCACTCTATCGATATCATTTTTCTTCTTTCTCCTTTTTTCCTTTTTTTTCTTTTTCATGAAGACCGGATGGAATGGAATAGCATAAAATTTCAGGACAGAGAAATGATGGTTGTTGACAGGAAGTAAAATGAGAATAAATTGTTCCCTGAAATTGAAAAAGAAAAAAAATGAGAAAACAAAAAAAAGAGCATAAAAAGAAAATTTAGAGTACATCATTACAATAAAAGAAGGCAAGTAAAGAAGCAAGTGAGAATAAGATTGATAGATTTAAACAACAGGCTGACTGAATTGTCGTTGCTATTATTATTGCCGTTATTACTGTTATTGTCACCGTTATCGTCACTGTTGTTATGGTTATTGTTGTCAGCACCATTATTAGTGTTATTGTTTTTCCCTTTCTTTTGTTATTGATTTTATTGTTATGGTTATTACTGTTAATAGTTACTGTTAGTGACATTGTTGTTGTTGTTGTTACTGTTATTGTTATTGACTTTGTTATTATTGTTGCTGCTGCTAAGGATGTTATTACTGCTACTAATTTCATTTCCTTTTGTTTTGAAAAGTTTTAAATGAAATGATTACTTAAAAGTATTGCAATAATGAAATTGAAACTGAAATGAATACTTGAACCAGAATTAAATTATAGCAAAGTAATCCACCATCATCATTATCATCTCAAGCTACTTGTCATTGTCAGTTCTTTCACAGTTGCTACATTTCTTTCAGCTAATCAATCATATTAAAAATCCGAAGTTGATTTTTTCATTTGTGAAAAAATCTATATGAAATGAGAAATTAGCATTTTTTTTATAAAAAAACAAAGAAGAAATTGAAAAATAACACAGTGATAAGGAACAATAAAGTATACAATAATACGAAATACGGATGGTATGTCGAATTATATTTAAAAAGAAAAAAACGATCAAATTATCAAAAATAGAAAAGAAGAAGATATGAAGAGAACAAAATGAAAATCAGAAAATGAAGGTAAGGAAGAAGAATACGGTAAAGATTTTCGGTATCATTTTTCGCAATCATAATTATTCAGTGATGAAAAAGGAAGAATGTAAGAAAGTAGGAGGAAAATATCAATATGTATGCTCAATTAAATATCCATAACGTTTGATTTATGTTAGATCGAGACAGATTACAATATCAAATTTAATAATATCGGAATGAACAAAAAGAATGATAAGAGAGGAACAGATAGAGAGAGAGAAAGAGGAAATATTGGACAACACATGAATATTCTACACCCTAGAAGATTATCAGAAAAAATAGCTGAAATCAAAGTGTGGATTACTTTTACTGCAAGAATTCTTAATGTTGTATTTAATGAAATATTAATAATTTGAGGTTTTACATTTTTATCTAAAATAAATCAAATAACTAAGCTAACCACAAATATCACTCAATTTAATCGC